AGGAGCACAGGGTTAGGCTCATGAGCTGTGAGGTCCAGCTTCAGGCTGTTCATGAGACAGGGGCAGGGCCAGATGAGCAGGAACACACTCCAGAATTTGTGCCGTAAAGCCAAGGAAAAGCATATCTTGAGAAAGGAAGAACCAACCACAGGAAGTGCCCATGTCAACTTAAGGACCGAGAACTGTCCCTCAGATTCTGCCTGAGACATCACAGAGGCAGCTACTGAGTAGGATCTGGCACAAAGAGAAAAGGGCCTTTTCTTCATCCTTCAAGAATACACTTGATGAATTTTTGTGTTAAAGGAACCGATCCAGTTGACAGGGAGTGAGAAGTCACTGGGAGTGTCAATTTGGTGCAAAGGGGGAAAGGAGACATACCTAGACAGAGGAGGGTCTGTGCTATGTCAGGAGGGAAGGGAAGGTGGGAGTAGACACAGAATGTGGCGGATTCCAGGCTAAGGTTCCCATTGGCTTCCAAACAAGATGCCCAAGTCCATCCTGAGTAGGATGGAGGACCAGTGTATGTGCACAGATCTGTTCTCACTAATGAGTCTTACGTTTAATGAAACTCATTCCCAAACATGAATATGTATACTCTACTTACCTCTGGTATTGTAATCACATTTTTAACTAAATATTACAGTAAATGTGAAGAGAGAGGTGAAGTTCCTATGGAAAATTGTTTTAATATACTGGGAAATTTTCAAAAAGGCAAGATGCTAAAAATCCTGTCCATCTAAGTAGTTAAGTTTAAAATACACATACTGAGCCAGATGCAGTGGCTCACATTTCTAATCCTAGTTCTAGGGAAACTGAGGCTAGCCTGAGTTACACAGTGAGCCCCAGACCATCACAGAACACAGGGTGAGACCGTCTCAAATACATGCATACACACAACACATTCTACGGTATCACGAATGATAGAGTAGCAACTCTTTGCAAAGGTCTGTTCTTGAGATAACAAGACTGAATCAGAGAACTATGTCCGACCTTTGCAAAGACAAGATGAAACTCAATGGATCTGCAATCGGGTTAAAAAGGGAGCAGGGAGAATTGGCTTGGTCTTATTCAGAAATAATATAGAATGAATGCATGTTTTGTGAATCCCTCTTAACTGACCTCTTTAATGAACTGAGCAACTCCTAGACCAAGCTGTCCTTGGAAGACTTCTACAGTTACAATAGAGAAGGAATCGCAGGGACAGTTACTGGGTGTTTATCTATTAATACAGGGAATATTCTAAAGATCAGGCTTAACTCTCCCATTTAACAGATCAAGGAACAGGCTAAACAAACCATAAAGTACCAAGTTATAACATTTGGATAGGGTCTATTTCTTCTAACTTTTAACCTAGTGTTGTGGGATATTTTGATTGCACTGTGACACTCTGAGACTGTTAAATAAGTTAAATAAAGTTTACCTTAAATGGGGGGTGGGGTGGGGAGCCAGTGACTAGCTGACCAGAATTAGACATAGAGAAGCCAGCAATTTGGATAGAGAAGACACACAAGAAGGAAAGGGTGGAACGAGAGTTTGGGCTTCCTTTTGGTTCTGGGATGAGGGAAGAGATGTGTCTCTTGCAGTGTCTCCAGCCAAAAAGCAAGGTCAGCTAGTTGCTACTCAACCTCTCTGAGCTAGCAGGTTTTTACCCCAGCCTTTGATTCCCAAGTCTTACTTATAAACAAAATGATAGAGACTTAATTTAAACCTACATATTGCGGCCATGGCAGAGTCAGGCCACAGGACTGGAAGGCCTGCCAAGCTGTGGCCTGCGTGGCCGGTGGGTCACTAACTGCAGACAATAATTAAAATATCAGTAGGTTTGTGTATGGCTGCTAAGCTGACAGAAAAACATCAGCTAGGACCTAGGATGGCCATTTTTATTGTTGTCACATGACCTGGTCTCACTCTCAATCTCTCTTCCAACATGTTCCATCCCAGCATCCTCCACCACTAGCTCATCCACGTTCTTCACCTGTTGTATCTTATCACAGACCCTATCAAATCAACTCCCATAAAAAGCTCTTCTGATTATCCCTTTCCAGCCTTATAGCCTCATACTTAGGCATGGACCACTGCACCAGCTTCCTGTTACCAATTCCTGATCCATGGACCACTGCATTGTGGGGACCTGCCCCACCGGGAACTTAGGTCACTGTGAAGAGGTGGCCTGGAACCTAGGAAAAGTAAGTGCTCACCCTCTGCTCTCTGGTTCCCCAGCCTCCATGCAGCAGGGAGTCAAGTCAAGCAAGAACTTGTTTATTGATGGGCAGTAAGCCTCTTTTATATGAGAAAACCTCAGAACCCTTCGAAGGGGGATGAAAGAACCAACCAATCATTTTAAAGATCAACCTATTTACAAGTTGTTTATGCCCTGACATCATCTCCTGTTTTTAGCATAAATAACTTGAGCTAACTTCCTTTCTCACTATTTGTCTTTAGTCTCCATACAAACAACCCAAGCTAACTTCCTCTTAGCCATCCTTTGTATCTATTCTCTGCACAAACAGCCTAAACTAACTTCCTCTGGTACCATTTGTATCCACTCTCTGCACAAACAGCTTAAGGCTTAAGCTCTATTTATCTAAATTTCTTTTAACACCCTCTTTGCAGCCCATGTATGCCCCACACTGCACCAGCTTCCTGTTACCAATTCCTGACCCCTGGACCACTGCACCAGCTTCCTGTTACCAATTCCTGA